GGCTTCATCGCCGGTGTTTTGCATCGACACATTCAGCAGCTTTAGAGGTTTGGAAGGTCAGATGTGGTTCTAGTTTCTATTTTTGTGTATTTAAATGTCTTTTTGGTTCCGATAAAACCAAGTGGTTCCAAATGATTGGAAAGCTTCAGAGCTAGAATGCTTCAGCCTTGGGGTCGGTAGATGGTAAGTGGGATTCACTGGCAAGGTTGAGTAGATTTGGGTGAAGGCTTCGAACCAAGGGAGTAGCCGGGTCTCAAACAACAAAAACTCTGTACTTTAACCTGATTTTGCTACGCAAAGTGACTTTATCCTGCCCGGATATGGACAGGATTTTGCGCATTGTGAAGGTGCCAGCGAGAGTTCACTCAACACCCAAGCTTTATGCTACATGAAGCACAAGGATGAAGATGATATAGTGGCAATCTTACAACTTGTCCACAGATCAATGAACCCAAGATTGTGCCTGCTGCCATCATCAACACACACCTCTTTGCACAACTTCGCATCCTTGGAACTTGGTAGGGCAGAAAGTCACAAGGTCTGCAGCGATCGAGTGCACATACCTGCACCATGTGTTCTTTCCCATCAGCTATGACAATGGTACGTATCCCCTACGAATGATACACGTTCTCCTGCACCACCTCAGAATGCCCATAGGGATACCATGATCGACTACAAATACTGTTTCTAGGTGGTGCAGGATTTCGTCGATCATTCGCATACATTCTCCTGCATCTCTCCAAGGAAATGAACCATGTCCGTCTTCTCCGCGCCAGGATGCCATCGTGCGCGCTTTGAAGGATCAGAGCTTTACCGCCGAGATGGTGCCTTTGTGCAGACAAATCAGCACCGCATTCGAAGAAAGGACGGTGTCGTCTTTTGGGCTAGATATGGTGGTGAATATACAGCTCTGGTGTGAGATTTATTGTGAACGGATCTGCTCGGGTGGGCTTGCTTTTGAAGCACGCAGACGGACTAGTACAACTTGTCCTTGCAGATCAGAGAGCAACTTTGGCGTTCCTTATCCGTAGAGGTCATTTATTTAGTATTTAACGCATTTGTGAAGAGGGAACCATCCCTCATCCATCCACCTCGAATCCCGAAAAAAAACGGGCTCTCACCAGCTCAGCTGGTGAAATCTTCAATCAGCAAAACATGCATCCAGTTTTGAATTCAGGGGGCTTGGCGCTTTTCAGATGGTGATGTCATTTTCGGTTGAGCGATATTGCCCAGCTATGCCAACACACATCTAACTTCCATATGACAGCTCTTCCCAGCGACCCCCGCACCGTTTGATGAATCTAGCTCGTATCCTATATGCCAATTAGCAAGCCGGATCATTGGCCTTTCGTTATTTGGACGCTCCCACAAACTTGGGGATGTCACAGCAGTTGAAGTCGATCTAACCACCAAACCAAGCGCCCAAGGTTGATCAAGTTTAAAGAGCGCAAAACCATGCAACACCCAGGCTAGCTAGACATGTTCAACACAAGCTGTTGACCATGGGTTCCAAGATGTTTGATCCAGCCTTATGCATCCGGTTGTTCTCAATACATTTGGAGTAAGAGGGTCATCCAGGGAATCGTGGCCCTTGCCAGAGCAGTGCTCAGGTCTCTATGATCTCCAAAGCAGTGCTGGCAGCCTCCCAGAACAGCGAGCTCAGGGCCGGGCCGGCCCAGCTCGTGAGCCACTGTGTCATCTGAGGTCCAATGTAGAGACATTGGAGGTGTTGATAGATAGGAACAGCGTGTGTACATCCTGCAAGGCAATGGCCATCTTAGTATATCCTGGTATGCAATCATGATTATCAATGGTAAAACCATGCAAACAACTGAACCAGGTTTTTCATGTCCTCGCAACCGAAACAGATCACTCTAAAAAGTTGGCTTTCAAGAACCGCGATACCATTTTGCCACAGCTTTGTATCCAAGAGGCACACCAAATTATATAATAAATGATTCAACAGGACAGTGAGAAAGATCCTTGAGCAGATTTGAGGAGCAGGTTTTGCAGGGCAACTTGTACGGAAGATTTTGAGTGTACAAAATGTTCTTTGCTAGGCCTTGCAAATGGAACATGACCGCGACAAAAAGCTACTAGTCTATGCTAGTCTCAACTTTCAAAGTGTGTCAGAAGGATGGTGACTGATGTTTCGAACATAGCCTTTGGCCACGCGAGTTCCACCAACAGAGGGAGGGAAGGAGGGAGAGAAAGAGAGAGAGAGGGAGAGACCCCGCCCCCCCAACACACACACACACACACACACACCCACACCCACACACACACAAAAATGCAAGAGTTCGCAAAATGGAGACTCTTGTTCAAAAGGCTTCAGATTCTCATAGACCAAGGAGACCTATTGATCAACTTGTCCTTGCATTATGTATTGCCCGATTCCTTGACAGAAAACCTCATCCTCCAGAGGACGCAACTTTGGACGTTGTGAAGGCGGCCGTGACGGATGCCTTGAAGGCGCACGATTCCCTGGCGGATCGTCCCCAGCCGGCCAAGTGCGTGGCTCGTGAAGGGGGTCAATTCACTGGAGATGAGAGGAATCGTGGGTTGAATGACCAAAATGGCCACCTTGAAGGAATGGATGGTTTGGAGGATTCTCATTTTCCGTGGATCCAAAAGGCTGACTTCATGGACCTTCATGGCACCACCTTGGCATCTCACCCACCCATCCACCAAGACCTGGGGGGGATCATTCGTGCTTCGCGAGGATGAGGGCTTTATGGAGGAGATGCTGAGCACCCTGACGCGTGCAACCATTGTGGCTTCCAAGGAACCGGTCGGCGGGTGATAGCCAGGCTGAATCTCAGATAATGTATACATGTTTATATAATCTCAAAAAGGTGTATATATATATAATGTACGGTTAAAAAAAAGGTAAACAAATATAAATTATATATCATCAGAAAAGATCAAGCGACCAAAGCGACACATGACAAGGTGGAACAGAGTGGTCTCACGACAATCTATGTATCATTCAACCCTGTGTTCAGGGTTTCAAACTAGTGTCCTTGATCCCACTTGGATCCACTTGGTAGGTTTAATTTACCCTTTGAAATGATTCCCTCATGCCCTTCAGCTGTTCGCCAAGTGTCAGGATCAAGAGCTCCGGGACACCCTCTTGGGGGTGACCAAGGAGGTGGGGTTGAGCTGAATTGCTCCTGTTTAGATTTCACGCGGTTCTTGGTTCCAGAGAACACTTGGATCAGGTCTCTTGGTGTGCTCAGTCTGAGGCGATTATATACGGAACAGAGAAGTACACCTTTGAGATATTGTAAGACCCCGAAAAAATATTCTTAGATGCTCCATCACATGTATTGCACAGTTGTCCCTCTCTCACACCTGCGTCGCACATATTCACCTTCGTCGTCATTTCCGTGTTTTGGTCTCACATTGAGATCTCCAACTGATCCACGTCTGTTTTGAAGGGATGTTGCCCGCTTCAGATGCCATGGCCTCGCAAGAAAAGTTGGTGCAATGTTAGTGTGCTCAACTGCTCGTGAGAAAAAACACAACCGAGCCTTACCAACCTGCTTGTTTGGCTTGTGGGCAAGATCGAGCAATATGATTTTACCCACGGGGCACGGAAAACGCTTTTGCTGAGTCTCCACGTTCGTGCCTTGTTGCGAGAGCGCATGATGTCGTTTCATGGCGGGCTGCTCCGGGTGAGCAGATAGTTCGTTTGATTCATGTTGGAGCGGACGCTTTGTGCAGGTTTCAGGTCGTTGTGGTGCTACATCCCGTGGTTTTGTGGTGCTACATATGAACAAATAGAGTAAATAGAGGATAATAGAGGACCATGTGCTACGAAAGGCACTGTAGAAACATTTTTTCACCTCCGCGCCCACAGCTCTGCAGGCTGTAGTCGATGCCTTGAGAGACGAAGGCTTCATGAATGCCTTCCAGAAGGCAATGTGCCAAGGCTTGAAGGAGCGGCGCACGGGTGGTGCCTTTGGCCTTTGGCCTTTGATACATCAGCAGTGTATATCGTGCTTTGAATCTTTTGTTTGTCTTTGTGGTCGTGTTTGTTTTTCCTCAGGTCGGGAAGACGATTGGAGTTTTTTGGGTGGACCTGACTCATCAAGAGTAGGATCCAAGTGTAGCTCTATTGCAGGATGGGGAGGGACCCACGGCACTTGTAAGGAGGCTGATGCTTTTTCATCTTCCTGACAGTATTGGTTTTTTGTGGAGGAAGACTTTCAGTTGAACGAGCAACGAACTATTCACTCGCTGCATTCAAGAGTGCAGCTTCTTCCAAAGATTTGCCCTTTCTAACACAGCTCATGACCACACCATACCATAGTTGCTACAGACTTGTCACGTGGATGCTTCATGATGCCTACACGACCTTTTCCTGAAATCTTCGCAAGGTCACCAGGCTAGATGAGAACCTCCCTTGCTGGTCTGGCCCATGACGTTCCTCTGTCAGGACAGCAACATCTACCGATCGGCAGCCAAGGGGGGTGGTAAAGTCCCTGAACCCCTTCGCGGGTGGAGTGGACTGAGCCAAAGTGCAGACCCCACAGCTGGTCAATGGTCCGAAGCGACCACGATGTCCTCTGCTCACAGCGCAACAAAAAGATGCAGGTGCGTAGCGAACTGGACTCCTTCCAAGCCAGCTATGGACCTGAAGCGCCCAGAGTCAGTAAGTAGTGGAACATCTGGACAGAGTTTCGGCCAGGACGGTGACACGGTGGGGAGAGATGTTAAGCCAGATGTTAATCTACACGCCGGACATTTGAACGCAGGTGTCGTCGCGGAACCAGGTTCAAGAAAGCTCGAGCCGCGAGCCCTTCAACATTCAGAAGATATTCAACACAGGTGGGATGCGTTTCACATCTGTAATATATTGTAATATTATGAACATACCGACAGAGGGTGATGACCTCTTAGGTGATCAACCATGCTGAAAGCACTTCTTACTACTTCAGACTAAGCATCTTCTCACCAACGATCCATGCGGTTCCGCTGCTTTCGCTGCCTGCTACATGGCGCAAATCTGGCGTGCCGGCTTCGTCGTGGACGGGCAAGAGGTGGAGCTGGTTATCGTGGATGCGGATAAGCTCGAGCAAACAAAGGCCAGTCAGCTGCCATCGTTGGCACAGCAAGTGTTGGAAATGCCGAACTGCTATGAGTGTGAGAAGGAGTGGCGAAACGATGTTATTTAATGAGCAATTTTATATTTTGCGGCTCTGCTCCGTTTTTTGTTTTGTTGATTTTGCAAGATTTTCCTTGCTTGGAGCAGAGAAGGAGTGGCCGTTTGAGCATGTGCTTGGCTTGGGCAATTTGTTGAAGGAAGTCGGGGAGGGCTGGTCTCCAGGGTTGGCCACATATCTCACTTGGTCGTCTCCTGCTGGGGAGCTACATGCCTTGGGGCTGGGAAGTGTCTGGGTGGCCAGCGCAGAACTTGTTCCCCACATTGACGTGTGGAGTTTTTGTTTTTGTTTTTAGTGTTGTATCCGCCCGGTCGTCCTCCTCTCCTCCCTCTCCTCCTCCTCCTCCTCCCGTCCTCCTCCCACCAACAACAAACCAACCAACCGACCAACCGACCAACCCACCGACCAACCGACCCACCCACCCACCCACCAACCAACCACCACCGTCCCTGGGTCGCCGCCGCTCTGCTGGTGTGATTTGCGTGGCAGGCGCAGTACTTGGTGCTCTCCAAGGGGTCGGATGTACGTCCCTGGGTCGCCGCCGCTCTCGGTGTGATTTGCGTCGCGGTACTTTGTGCTCTCCAAGGGGTTGGATGTACGCCTTCAGCCAACAGCTCTTTCCCAAACCTCTAGTTGTCGAAGCCGCTGGCGCCCTCGAAGCCGCTGGCGCCCACCGGACGGCTGCCAGAGTCCAAGCGCCGATGCAGGCCCATGTCACACAGCCACCCAGCACCGACTCTCGAAGCCAGGTTCTCTGCCAACTGATGTTCAGCCACTAGCAGTTTGCACATGCATGGCACCAGCATTCTGGGCTTGCTCTCCTGCAGTTCTGTATCTTTCACACTGTCCACATGGTAAAGCAGAAGGGTTCAGCTGACACCTAACCACCAACCAACCACCACCATTGGGGTGACCATCAACCACCAACCACCAATTGTCCACTCCTGTGTCTGGTGAAGTTGTTAACTTTTTTTGCTGTATATATATATATACAGTACTTTTAGTGGAACGTTTGATCTCTTTGCCCTTTCCCTGTCGGCCTAATCACCTTCCGAAGTAGTTGGATCACGGGCAATGACAGTGTGTGCCTATGATGACCTTACTGCGTTTAGAAGGGCATGGCCCATGGCTCACGGGATCTTTAACTTCTTGTTCCCAGAATGGGTTTGGTCTGGTTACGTTATTTTTATATTATATGATTATATATAAGTTGTTGTTGCCGCATCTCCATTTTGTGGAGCGTCCAGAGTCCATGAAGATGCAGATTGTAAATATGCAATGATGCTATGTTCATTGTTTGGTCTCCTTCATGTTCTCTTAGCTCTATATATATATATACACGACTAATTACGATTATGATATAGAATCATATACATGTTCTCACTTGAGGCTGCACTGTACCCAGCGAACCAAACTATGTAGTCAAGTGATTGCAGATGTGGCCCCTACTTGTAAAACAATGTTTTTATTGTCGGATTCTTCAACTTCAATCTGAAGTGCCACATGCCCTCCGAGGCAACAAGAAACGACGCAAGATTGCAGCCCTTTTGGCCTTGACCCTTTGCCGTCTCTGTGGAAGTCATTGGCCAGCTCCTCCTGAGCTTCGTGATGAGTTGTACCAGGCCACCGCTGCAACAGTGCTGCGTCCGCCGCTGCGCCCTGGCGTGGCCGTATCGGCCTCCATACCGGTTGCGGGGCAGCAGGAGCACGACTGGCCAGACTGGCAAGACTGGCGCCGGTCACGAAGAGAAGACTGGTTGCCACTGTCAGGCTCATGGGTTTGGTGGAGCAGTGACATTTTAGTGGTTCTCTGTGAGGATGTGTCCGCCCAGATTTTCGCGGATGCCAGGACATGGTTTTACGAAGTCGCGGAGGTGCAGCAAGAACCGGAGGAACAAAGAGCCCCACGCGAATTGAACCAACGCACCCAGCAGATATTTCCAGATATTTTCTTCACCAGCCTGTTCAGACACCAAACCCACGCGGTGGTTGGTGTAGGCCGGGATCTCGAACATCGCAAGAGAGCAGGATGTTTGGGATTGGCGGCGCGGATATCCAGAGGCAGCCTATGTTTGACACGCGTGCAAGGTCAGGTTGTGGATGAAGTGTTCCAAAGCCCATGGCTTCCACAAGAACCCATCCAACGCTTTTTTGATTTGGAGAACCACGGCTTTTGGCAAAACATCGAGATTTGGCAGGAGTCTGAAGAACACAAAGTTGCACCGCTCACAAAAAAGAATCTATCTGATATTCGCATGAACTGCCAGCCGGCATTGTTGAGGACACTGGAGGAGTGCCGGTTGACTCGGATGTGTTGGAGCAAACGATGTCTTCAGTTTCTAGTCTGTCCCAGACCATCCATCCATGTATGGAATGGATGCAGCAATTTACATCTACCCCGTTTATGTCCCCGTGTAATTCTTCATAGATTGACTTGATCTTCACAAGGTTAGTTAGTTGTGTTCAAGAGTTTGTCGCCCTCACAGGACAAGGGAAACATGGAGATTGACTTGACACACTCTCGCCGCCCATGGCTGGGGATTCTTAAGGCACATCAGGAGCTAAAATGGATCACTGGATCGGACATCAATCGCTTCATCGTTGCAGTCGACCGAGAAAAACTGGATCCCTACCAGGAGGTTCCCATGATCTACTTTGAAGTGCGCACGGCGGATGGACACCGACACCGCTTCCGGGACTTGGACCGCACCGAAGAGACCATGTTTCGGCAGCCGGAAAAGAAGGATATCACGTTGGCCTTTCGGCTGGCAGGTGGCTGGGAGGTGCGGAGGGGCATTTTCAAGGTTGACGTCTTTTTTCTTGATTGACTGTAGACATTTCAATGGATACTGTAATACAGACGTGCTTTGATTTGTCCGCGCCAGGTGCAAGGCCGCTGGACTGCGTTTGAAGAGACTTGGACCCCAAACAGTGTCAGCAATTCAGCAATAATATTTTTGAGCGTCAACTCGGTGAATTCTCATGTTGGTGGAAACGTTTGCAATTGTCCAGCTGTTTGGGAACTGCGCGTAAACGAAAACGATTGACAACAGCAGTTCCTGATGCCTAGTCACATGTGAAAAACCAGGGATATATATGTATATGTATATACGTATATATTTTTCGTATATAGATGTCATGAGAAAATCCGAGGATGATACCAAATTTGAAACACTGTGCATCACTGTTGCATTCATAGCCACACGAAAACATACCTGGGCAAGGCGGTGGAGAAAGAAAAAGCGCGCAAGGGCAACAGGACAACGCCCGGACACAAGGTTTAAGGGCGCGGCCAGAGACTGTGGCCAGTGTTTTTCCCCAAACAGTTTACTGTTGGGGTTCTATCTTAGAAAAAAGCGCTGGCCACACTCACACTGAACTCTGTGGCTGGGCTCTGTGTCCAGGCCTTGTCCTCCTCTTGTCCTCTGTGGCTGGGCCCTGTGTCCAGGCCTTGTCCTCCTCTTGTCCTCTGTGGCTGGGCTCTGTGGCTGGGCCTTGTCTTGTCCTCCTCTTGTCCTTGTCTTGGCCGCGCCCCTGAACTCTGTGGCTCGTCTGTGTGGCCCGGTTTACTGGAGAGGAGTGTGGCCGAACAAGTAGCGATGTCAATGCCGACAAAAATTCATTGATGAAGCAGTTTGCTGTTGGGGTGAAGGTAGGGCGCACCAAGAAAGCATTTTGTGACTAATATTGGTCTAAACGAATTGTTTTGAAGCTGTTTGGGGTCTATGCTGGTATAGTTTTCGTAAGAGAACCGCAACAGTAAACTGTTTGGGGGGGTAAACAAAAATTGGACTACAAAAATCAAGAGAAGGGAGGACACCAAGAAGACAAGAGAAAGAAACCAGGAGGACAAGAGGCAGCAGCACAAGGACAAGAGAAGGAAACCAGGCGGACAAGAAGAGGACACCAGGAGCACAAATGGAGGACACCAAAAGGATAAGAAAAGGAAACGAGGAGGACAAGAGGATGACAAGAGAAGGACACCAGGAGGACAAAAGGAAGACAACAGCGCGGCCAGAGGACAACAGCAGAACAACTGCCAGGAGGACAAGAAGAGGCCACCACGAGGGACGCGACGAGAACAAGAGGAGGACAAGACGACGACACCAGGAGGACAATAAGAGGACAAGAAGAGGACAAGACCCGGACACAGGGTTGAGGGGCACGGCCAGAGACTGTGAGAGAACCCCAACTGTAGACTGTTTGGGGAAAAATATATAGAGGAATATCATATAACACGTTTTGATCCTTCCATAAAGATCACCAATTTTACTAATATTTTCCTCGTCCCAAGGCCAAAAGCGCCTGACAGCTGCTAAGTAACAAAAATGGGCAGATATGTTGTTGAGGCACTTTGGCAAGCTGAGGTAAATGTCTTCCAGAACCTCATTGAGAACTTCAGGGAAAAGGAGCGGCCTGATGGATGGCATGAAGACGATTTTCTGATGCCCCTTCCGACAAAATCTTCTATTTTTGTCGGGGCCTTGGTGCATAGGACCTAGGAGCCCACTGACTTGCAACCCTTGGAACGTGTTGATATTTGCACAAGGAGGTTGCCCGTGTCCATGTCACCACACCTTCGTTATCTTGGAGTGCATATGCTGGCGTGAAAACGGGCCCCGAAACAAATAGGTTTCACTGATCATTGGAACCTGTCAACATCCATGCCGCAAATCAAGGTCGCGGCAACCACTAACCCGATCCCAGCCCACACATGTCCACACAAGACGTCTCGAAAATCAATGTGTGTCAATGTCAAAATACAAAATCATCTATGTACTTGGTCCACAGAAAAAGGGTTCACGCCAGACAATAACAGGATCTCAAGCACTCCACGCCCTTTTGTGTGGGTTCCCTGACACCGCATATAATCGAAACACCGGCACCAAAATGCAAAAACAGGTGCAGTGTCAAGCACCATCATCCTGTATGCCACGAGACCATGACATCAAAACCGTGCTCGTAACCCTGACAACGCACGTTAACTCCTCCTCACCCCCCACAATCTGTTTCTGCGTGTGCATCACGCTGGTAGGCGCAAAGGCAGCGTATTTTTACACAAAACATCGCCGCGCTCCAGCGGAACACGCTTGCAATTTCTGCACCTACCGTTTTGTGTTCAAAAGCGAGACAGTGACTGAACACCGAGAGAACTGAGGCTTGGAAGTTGTCGGAGGAGCTTCGGAAACAATTCAACACCTGGTTGCAGAGCCGCACCCGGTGCCAAGCTGTAGACCAGGTGCGGGCGCGGACGCTGGATGTGGATCTGAAGGCCACCTTCGAGGACACCATGGAAGGTGGGGGATGGGGCGCGCCACGAAGCCACTACCAGTGATTCAGGGCAAGAGATGGAACATGATAGATGTGTATGTGCATTTTTTATGATACAAAATTATTCATTATGCAATTATGTATACAGTAATTTGGAGGGTGATTTTTGCAGCAGTTGTTGTGCGGTTTTAGGGAAACTAAGACGACGTGGTGTCTTGCATGTGTTTTGTGTTTGCCTTCAGTTTTGATATGCGGTCTTGTGCGTTGTTTTGTACGAAAGTCCGGATGTCGTACAAGTGTACGGACTCTTAGTGGCCGAAATACGCCGTAATGTGAATTTGATGCATGTACTGTGCAATAATGCAAAACAGCACACTATTTGATAGCAAGATCCTCTTTGTTTAGTGTAGTGGAATTCTAGTTGCGTCATTGTTATTGTTCCAAATGTCCCAGTTGGCAAAGCTGGGGGTTCAGCCGGGTTCAGCATTTCTCATAAGCATCAGCATCGAATGTTCTGGAAAATTGCATGGAACATCTGAAAGATATATACTAGATGTTATTATAGTAGTCACCATCAATTGTTATTGGAAACAGGTTCTCTCTCATCCTTAACCATCACAGACAGGCACTCCCTGCCAGGTTTCTTGCGGGAATTTGAGGTGAGTGATGAAACTTTCTGTTCCAGTGACGACTTCTACCATGAGACTTCGAGTGCTTGGGCGCCTGAAACAAGAAGAAGTGGAGAGTCAGGCCGTCGAGGAGACCCTTGGATATGCATTAACTTTTTTGAAACTAAGACTCTTGTGCATGTGCACACGGAACAACATGAGGCTATTGTGAACTCATTTTGGTACGTTAATTTTGTAGCTATGTTTTTCTCCCAGCATGTTGGAGCAACTCGAGGGTACGTTCACCCAGAAACAGAAGCTGATGTTGGACATTGCGTTGGCTGAAGGTGTGCGGTCTTCATTGCTCAAACCCTTAGACCCCTCACGGTGTCCAGATGTGGAAAGAAATTTCTTTTGTGACTGGTGCCATGCGAGTGAAGACATCCGCTTCTCCCATGTGGATGTCAGCAGTGAGTTCCTTCACGGGGATGGGCATAGGGGAACCCGCCTTCAGACTTTGGTCCGGGAGCTGGTGGAGGGAACAACGGATTCTGCACAGATCCCAGCACTGGTAGCAGTCCGAGTTCAAGGCATCCGGCATGTTGTGTGCGGCAATCGACGTTTAAAATGCTACAAGATGGCTTGGCAGAGGGGCGTAGACTGCTGGTTCAAGATGATTGTTCATGACTCTTGTCCACCCTTCAAGACATGTTTTAGACAGTCTCTTTTGTTTTGGTTTACTGAACTTGTATATACGTCGTTGCGTATGTGTAGGGCCTGTCCCATTATCAGTAACAGTCAGAAAACTATTATCACTATGATTGAGCAACCCTTTACTAACCATCATCATCTACTGTTACTGGTAGTGGGATGTAGTGGGATAGACACAACGTCGTATGCGATAGATCAGAACTGAACCCCATTATTTATACAACTCACATGTTGGTCCACTTTTGCACTTTCGGATTTGGGGTCCGGCAGGTTGAATCTCAAAGGCTTCACACATGGTTCAGTGATCGGCGCAGCCAAGGAGTTTCCGAGATGCCCCAAAATCCAGGACGAGAAACAGCGACTTGCATTCATCCTAAAGGCCATCCAGGCAATGTCCACTGAGAACCACGGCCAGGATGTTGACATACGTCGCAGGCACTGAAAAAAGGAAGACAAGCAAGGCGGCGTCGGGTCCCCAAGCAAGCAATGTATATGAATAAATTAAAATCAATGAATATGTTTGAGGACAGGTACATTCGTATGTGAATCTCCGCTGTGGCCACAAATGGCACCTAGGACCTAGGGTGGAAGAAAAGTGGTGGCTCACTTTTTTCAGCTATTGGGGTGCAGAAGTTGCCCAGGCTGGCCATATCGGCGGAGGAACACCAACATATGAGCGTTAGAGGTTCTTTTCAGCCCGGCTCATCCCACAGGCGTTGAACTTGCTCCAATCTTGCAGAGTGTGACGGGCAGCAGGCAAATTCTCCCGGCAATTGTCCAAGTAGACTAACACAAAGTCAACAACGCGGCAACATTCAAGATACTCGATGCGCTGGAGGATATTACTACTGTACAATAGGATCTACTCGGAAAAAGGAATTACTTCCAGCCGCAACAGCTTTTATTCAAAGGTTCCAGATTGAACAAGCCTGTCACTGAAAATGCCTGTCACAAGTGTTGCAGTTGCCGTTGGAACCCGGATGCTATTCTTTGCTGCTTTTCGCACCGAACAAATTTCATCAAGGAGTGAGTGCAGTTGCGTTTTTTTTTCTAGGAGCCGTTTCATGGGAATGCCGGAATGCCAGAAAATGTTCAGTACACATCACGAAGGGCCAGCAATCAATAGTGGGGAGCAAGAACCTCCAGGACTTTTCCCTTCAAGCAAGGTTTAAGAGCATACATGACTTTCAATGACGCCTTAGCTGGAAGGCAGTCTTTTGAGCGGCTGCTTTGTGAGCAATCAACGGACACAGCAGAGGGCACTTCAAGGTTAGTGCTTGTGGTTGGTTCTCACGGATTGTCACCACTGAACAAACACCAGGGCCGACGCAAGGTCACTTCAACTTTAATTTGCAATACATACTTGAAGATGAACTGAGACTTTGAAGGGGAGGCGGCTTATCCACACTGACCTCTGAGGGTGAGGGATCAATTCAGCATTGAGTGGATAGAGACTGCGTTTTTGCTTTGTGGACCTCCACTGCAAGAGTCTTATACTCAATCCTGGGTGGGAACCCCTTCACCTGGCCCCAAGCTGAACGCTATGGTCGACACGTCTCCGTCATCCACGGCTAAAGCGATGGCTTCGGCTGGAGAGGAAGGGCCGGCTGCCGCGGAGGCGCAGGTGGCGCACCAGGTGCCCACAGCTGCGCTGGCGGCTGCGCCGGCGGCTGCGCCGGCGGCTGCGCCCGCGGCGACCGAAGGCTACGGCCCTGGTGACGTCAATCCTGAGTTGGTGCTTCAGGCCATTGAGGCGAGGGCGCCGAGATCAGTCACATTATAGATCTCGACTTTTGGTGAGTTTGTTTGGTTTTCATTTTCTGGTACAGTGTTACAGGGGGTTGGGATCCCATATGATATATAACTATAAATATATATATATTAATATATATATATATTAATAGTTTATGTATATATATATATATTAGTATTGTTTTGCATCCTTGCTCATAGCAAGATGTTTTTCCTTTTTGAACTTATACCCTTCGCAGACCACTTTCATCTACCGGTTTTGCAGCTAGGTCCGGATGTGCCTCACTCTTGGGGGTTAACCCGGGGTCATCTGCCAGCAACTTTGGAGAGATGGGAGGAACTCGCAGCGCCAAAACATTTTTGAAGTCCATGTTGCATAGTCTTCTTATATACCACCATACAACTGTGTATTTGCCACGTATAACGCAACAAATGAATACGACTTTGATCTACCGCTTGCTTGGCCTTCGGAACCCATGAGCCACTCGGAGATGTTGAAGGCGGTTTTCCTGAGGTCAAAACTCCACAAGATCCGGCGATGAATCGACCATTGACCATGGATGACCATACCATGGTCTATGGTCAGCAAACCACCTGAGTGGGCACCCCAAGCAATGAGTCTTACTATCCCCTGTTCCTACTTAGAGTTGTTTTGGGAAGGTTGCTTACATGATGCCATTGTTACACACCTTGTGCAAGAGCAGGAGTATATGCCGCTTCACTTGTAGTGGACAAACAGTTTTGTTAATAATATAGTCAGTTATACATAGTTATGTATATATAGTAAGTTATAACTAGTTATATATATATATTATATGCCAATGTTGAGGATGTTGGCTTGCTCACGCTTGCCTGGGTTTAGGAGAAAGACCCACAGGGTCGTTGCTCACATCAACTCCGTTACGGACATTTCGGTTTTGTTGAGCATGAACCACTCGGTCGACTGGCGCGATCTGGTTTTCTCATGGTACACCGTGGACGACTTAGACTCCGAATCACTACAGTACCTTGGACCCATGAAATTGGATATGGACACCGAACAAACATCAATTTCCTTTGCAAAGGACTTCCCACTGAATGTCAGGGAGTGGGAGGGAGCGTCCATCACACTCACGGATACAGACTGCGAGACTTCCTTTGTTCCGAGTTCAGCGTGTTCACAGGCCGTCACGCAAGCGCTAGCCGAATCGAAAGAAGCAAAGAAGCTGGAGGCTCCGATGGGGATGCAGAGTTAAGGATTCGGCATTAACGGATACATTGGTTGGGATTCTGAACTGGCACTGGAGCTTTTCTAGGTGTCTCAACCCCTGCAGGATAGCTGTGATATGATGGAATATGAGGGACATAAGTTTGGTTGAATGAGGTGCCTGACTTTACTTTTTTGGCAGGACATGAGGTGACTCCTATTTTTCGAGCCCCCGCAGTACCCCGCCGCTGTGCGGTAGCTGCAGATATGCCCGAAGAGGCGGAAGAGGTGCGCGAAGATCTCGAGCTGCGGAAGCGCTTGGAGGCCTTCACGGCGGAGAAGGGCGCCGAGACTGTTCGCCAGGAGCATGGGAGGCGAGGGAGTTGCGAGGCTTGTGTTGAGCGGTTTGCTTTGATCTCCAAGTGATTAATTTAAGCAAACAACGTCAACCAAACCCAACTCAAACCAAGAAGAGCAACCAAATCACCCAATCAGTTGGTGTCTGCGAGGAGCTGGGCAATGCCTCCAAGATTCTCCGGCGACTCTCCGAGGCGTTTTGGATCCATCGATGTCTGGGACGGGACGGAGACTTAAGCGACTTAGACGATCTCTTCGCTTGTTCAGTAACAAGTGCATCGCTAGCGACCCTAGCTTCTTGCACCCTAGTAGCGATGCCAGGAGCCCCGAACGTAGCGTCCTTGCTCCTAAGATGCATTCTTGGATCATTAGGACTCAATCCTAGGAAGTATGTCTGTCAAGAGAACTCAGAGTTTGAAGTATTTCTAGACAGAGCTAGCTTCACCATTA